AGTAAGTTCTAGAGGGCTGGAGAGCAGCCAACCACTTAGGGTTCTCCTGTCTAGAGAATGAATTCCAGTTCAATTTTCACAGTTTACATCAAGGACTAGGAGGTACAAAGTAGTCAGGACTTAAAAGCAGACCATAAAATAAAACAAGATAAGAAAGCACTGAGATAATCTCAAGAGTTGGTTCTTAAACTGTACAGGTATGGGTTTTTATACTCCAAGTGTCATGAATTGATAACCCAGTTCACTAATGAACCTGAATTTCCTAAAAATAATTTTCTGAGGTTTTTCCTTACCTCAAAGCTATCCTTGGACCAAGTCTCTCTCTTGTTCCAATGCTCTATTCCATTTTTTCACCCCTACCCACTTCTGAACTGTTCTTGTCCCTCTCCAGCTCATCAATTACCTACTGTCTCTTCATTTAATATCTACTAATGTTGAGGAGCTGGGTCTATAAAGAGCAGTAAAACATAATCTCCATCCTCCAGGACCTAACAGTATAGTAGAAAAAACAAAGGTAAACAGCCATAACTATATGATAAAAGTTATAGTAGAGAAGTATAAGCACTTAATTCTGCCCAGTGACATTTAAGTTTTAAAGGATGAACAGACAGATGTTCATAGAATGGACAAAAAAGAGAGAGACATTGCAGAGAGAAACAAAACATGTGCAGAGACAAAGGGATGAGAGTTTGGCTGAGTCTAAGCGCCAAAGAGTCGTACAAAGCTAGAGCAAAGGGTACAGGCGAGGAAAATGCGAGAAAAGCGGGAAAAGGTCAGTTTTGTGAGCCACTTTATAGGGTTGAGATTGTTCAAAGTCACTGGGGGAAAGGAGGCATGATGTCATCACATTTGCATCTTCGAACATTTAGAGCAGTGGTTCTCAACTGGAGGTAATTTTGCCCCAGGGATATCTAGGAATGTCTCGAGACATTTTTGGTTGTCACAATTGAGGGGCAAGGGGTTGCTACTAGCATTTACTGGGTATAGGCAGGGATGCTGATTAACATCCTACAATGCACAGGACAGCTGCCTACAACAAAGAAGTATCTGGCCCAAAACGTAAACGGTGCCGAGGTTAAGAAATCCTGGTTTAGAGCTAAATCCTAGGGTATAAGAATAAGAATAGAGGCAGGGAATCAGGTAGCCTGTAAGTTCTAGGACAGCAGAGGCCATGTTCTTGTTTATCTTGTGACTTCAGATCCTAATCCAGTGCCAGATATAATGTGGGGACTCAACATTTACTTGGTAAATGAATGGATGATGTAGAGCTCCAGGCAAGAAGTACCATGGCCTGAAATATGGCTGTGGCAATGGTAGTGGAAAACAGATTCAAGAGACTAGAACAGAATATATAGGCCTTATTTACTAAATAGACATAAGAAATGAACAAAAAGTCTAAAATGAAATGACTCCCAGGCTTGCAATAACAAGTTTCAGAGGATCAAAAAGTTCCATTTTAGACATTTTAAAGTTTGAGACAAATGTGAGATATTCAAATAGAGGACCAATAGTTTGCATATAGTTTGAAAAAAATCTAAGAAGGGAAAATCCAATTTACCACACCGTGATCTTAAATGATCCTCTGAGTTACAGCAATAAGTTCAATTTAAAAAACAAATGAACAAACCCTAAGTGCAGTATGGTATCCTGGACTGGATCCTGGAACAAGACAAGGTAAATAGTGGAAAAATTTGGTAAGATATGAATAAGGTCTGGTGCTTAGTTAATAATAACATACCAACATTGTTTTAGTAGTTCTGAGAAATGCACCAGACAACGTAGGATTATAACATTAGGGGAAACGGCATAAAGGGTATATAGGAGCTCTTTGAACTATCTCTGCAACTTTTAGGTAAATAATTTCTTATTCCAAAATTAAGTTTATTTTTAAAAAATCTTTATCCAAAATGAGTTAAAATTTAAATATTTAGCTATATAGTAAACATTTACATCTATATTCTAAGAAAACCTAAAAGGTTAAGGAGGTTTTTTCTTACTTCCATTGATATGAGGTAATACCACACTGACCAATGAAAGAGCAAAAAAAAATCTAGAGGGTAGCCATCCAGACAGAAAACAGCAAAGAGGAATCAACAAAAGAAAAACTAAGTCAGTACTACGAACATCCACATTTTTAAAAGAAATCTTCTGACCCATATCCTGTGATAACTTGAAATGATCCATTATATTACTATTCAGGCAAACTATTCTGCCAAAAAGCCCGTTGAATTTTTCTTTCCCTTACCACTCTATTCACAATTTTATAGTAGTGACAAGACATTCAAGATTGTCACCAAGGTGAACTGACAAGACATGATACTAAATTATGATGATTATGAGTTGTTTTGATTAGTCCAGCTTTTCTTTAGTGATCTAAAAAAATATATGTAAATACGAAAAAAAAAAACCAGGTAAAATTGGCTTTCTAGTACAGGCGTTTTTTTTTAATATAGAGAACTAATCTGTTTCTGAAAATATGAATCGAAGAAAAAAACACATTTATCTTAAACCCTAAAAATGAAATAAAGTCTTTCAGAAAGGTACAACAATTATCTACTTGGTAATTAATTCTGTTTCCTGAATATATCAGTTGCATTACTCTGCTGTAACAGAAAATGCAAGATATTTTTGCCATATTTAACGTTCCCTATATCCATGTCAGCAATATTTACTGATCTGACCACATGACTAATACCAATTTGAGTAGCCAAGTGTTACTATTTGAAAGTTTAGCTTATTGAAAATAAGGCACAGCATAATGGAGTCAGTCTGGTTCATGACTCACTAAATGTGTAACCTTGGTCAAGTCACCAAACTTTTTCATGCCTCAATTTCCCTTTCTGTAAAATAGGAACAATAGTTCCTCTCATAGACCATTTAAGGTTTTAAGAGAAAATAAATGAAAAGTGTTTAGAGTAGTGCCTGGCACATGGTAATTACTCACATAGCAAATGTTAAGAGGAAAGTTATTTACTATCAATCATTCTCGCACTTTAAGTGCCTACCACAGGGCTGCCTGACAATGTGTTGAAAGAACATAACATATTCCCCTTATTATATGGATCTGCAGTTTTTCAAAGACAAGATAAACTTCTCCCTGCAGGGGAAGCTCCTATAATATTTTATCTTTCCCTTCTTTCAAGAAACTATTCTACCCCGTACTATAATTTTCCAAGTGCAAATATACTCCAGTGTCTCAAATCCTTTGTTGTTTTAATAGTTTCTCATTATAGTAAGATTATATATAGAAATCATTATTTAATCAAGACTATCATATGTTAAAAAAAAAAAAAAAAGATCATGCATGATTACCCACCATACAAATATTACATAGGATACCTTTAGAAAACAGGTCAGAGAAAACAATTCAGAACGCATCACAGAGACAAAAAGATGAAAACCATACAAGAGGGGGTAATTGAGAAGATTAAGTGAGCAAGTTCAGCACCTGTTTAACTAGAGTCCCAGAGAGGAGCAGAGAGGATGGAGCAGAGACAATATTTTAAAGACAATGGCTGAGAATTGTCCAAAGCCAATAAAAACATTACAGATTCAAGAAGCCTAATAAATTTCAAAAACGATAAATTAAAAAAAATTGACACCAAGCATATCACAAACTGCAGAAAACCAACAAGAAAGAGAAAATCTTAAAAAGCAACCAGATCATCTTCCAAGTAGCAACAATTAGGTGGTAGATTGAAACCCAACTATATCAATAATTACATATAAAGGACAAAATGCCCCAGATAAAATACAAAGATTGTAATATCGCTTTTTTTTTTTTGGTGAGGAAGATCAGCCCTGCGCTAACATCTGTTGCCAATCCTCCTCTTTTTGCTGAGGAAAATGGGCCCTGAGCTAACATCCATGCCCATCCTCCTCTACTTTATATGTGGGACACCTGCCACAGCATGGCTTGGTAAGCGGTGCGTAGGTCCTCACCCGAGATCTGAACCTATGAACCCTGGGCCACCGAAGCAGAGCACGTAAACTTAACCACTACGCTGCCACACTGGCCCCTATATTTCATTTTTTAAAAGCCAAACTTGTAGGCTATTTTTAAGACACATGGAAAATAAAAGGAAACAAAAGAGTTGAAAGTAAAACAATGGTGAAAGATATACTACATAAACATTAAGCAAAAGTTACAAACTGTAATACTGATGACCAGTATTGTAAGTATCCAGAAAAGGAAGAAATAAGTAGGATTTAGATAGGTGGAAGAAAGAGGGAGAATGACCTTCCTGGCTAGGCAGAAGGGTGGGAGTGGGAGAAGAGGCTATGATTAAAATATGAAGGTCTCTGCAAGTCAGCAGTTTAGACTTGTTGGTAGAGGAAGTACGACACCATTAAAATATCTTCAGCAACCTCTTTATACTACCTTCAGCAGAAGAGTGACACAGCAAAGGTAGAATTAAATAAGATGAACATTACAGTGTTATACAGTATGACCTGGAAGGGAAAGAAGGAGAAGACACCAAAGCAAGAAGACTAGTTTGGAGGATCCTATGGTAATCCAGGTAAGACAAGGGCCTGGTAGTAGCAGAGGGATGAATCTAGGAGGCATTTCAAGAGGAAGACCTATCTGCATCAATTTTCTTTCTTTGAAATTTTAAAGGCAAAAAAATGCACTATGCTTTATAAAAAATAACCAAACTATTTTTGTTTTCCACCATTATAACTAATCTGTACTACGATACAATCACCCACTAAATCAACTCAATAATACACATTAAAATTTTAACCATTTTGTGTAAAAATAAAATCCAATGAGCTAATTAGCCTACATTAGACACAATACATACAACCCATAATTACAATTATGACTTCAATATTGAGATTACTGACACAAGAAAAAAATCTGATAAGTTTTTCCTCTTTGAAAGCTAATGTATCTAATACAAAATTCTCTGATTTCACAGTTAACTAAAAAACATTTTTATTTTCAAAAGCTCTTTACCAAAAGGATATCAACTTGGTAACGAACTCAAACAACTCACCAATGCTGGGTGGGCTACCATAGTTAACTGGCGACTCAGGTGGTCTTCCACAATGCAATGCAGCCAGAGCAGATCCTTTCCACACAACATGCTTGCAGCCTATTAAACACACATATTTTTATGGATACAAAGATACGACACAAAAAAAAAAAAAGTGAGTAAAAGAATGTCTAAATCCTATTAGAAATTTTTCATACTTTTATTTGTGCGTAGCAAGGACTGCCTTCCAGCTCCCAATAAAGTTTGGACTCCAGGAACACTTTGTGGAATTTCTTGTTCAAGAAGAGGTCCTAGTCGATGACATATTTGCAGCAAGTGATCAGGTGCTAAATGTCTGTAATACTTCACCTATTATGTGAAAGACACACAAAATATTGCTAAATAAAGTGATATAATTCTTTATAGTAAATAAAATATACTTTTAAAAATATAGTAATTTGTTCTGAATAGCCAACATTTCATTTTACTTGGGGGAAAAGTTCATGTTTATTCTGCGAAACCACTTGACTCAGAATAAAATAGCTACCCCAACCACTACTTAATTCACTGAGGAGGAAAAATGTTAAAGAACTAATATAACCTATATATAGCAAGTTATAAATTAACAGATGCTAGTCAAGGCAAATACTGAACAACGAAAAAATATGTAGCATTATAACTTAAAATGCTATGTTTCAGTTTAACATTTTAATGTTCAAAAACTTCAAACAAAAAATCATCCAACTATAAAATATAATGTTTTGTATCTTTGATATCATAAAGAATATCTCCAGAATAATTAAGGATTAAAGAAACTTGATAGTTCATATTCTCAATACAAAATTTAAAAACACTTTATACAACATCTATACTGAATTTTATAATTTACCAAAAACTTCACAGAGAGAAAGGCCGAATTTCAACTGTTAACTTAAACAAGTTTAAGTTAACTTCAAGTTTAGCTATAAAATAAATCTACCTACTATAAAAAGTTTGAACACTTTTTGGAACAACTTCAAAATGCTGCTTAATTTATGCTAGCATTTGAAACCAAGATATAAAATGCTGACATTTTTATTATCCATCCTGAAAATGTTTTAGTAAAGACATTTGCATAATAATCTAAAAAGAATTAAATTAGAAAAAATAAAGTACACTATTTTATCACTTTATAGTTAGGTTATCAAGTTACAAAAAATTTCTCACTGTAGTACCTAAATACTCTCTAGTTCAGCTGTTCTCAAAGTGTGCTCTGGTAAACCCCGGGGTTTCTCAGGTAAAAATTATGAATAATACTGAGGCGTTATTTGCCTTATCACTCTCATTTTCTCATGAGTGTACGGTGTTTTCCAGAGGCCACATAACATGTGATGTCACAACAGACTGAATGCACAAGCAGATATAAGAATCTGTCTTCTATTAAGCCAGACAATAAACATTCCCAAAAATGCCACTCTTCTCTTTTGCTTTGGAAAATAAGGTACAAAAAATGTTACTTATATTAACATGAAATGAGTTTATTATATTTAAATGAATAAAATTTTTAAATTTCTGTTTCAATTTTTTAAATGGTAAATATGAATAGATTATAATCCACATAAGCAAAGAAACTTCAATAATTTTTATTAATGTAAAGGAGTTGTGAGGCCAGGCCAAGAAGTTTGAGAATTGATAGTCAAGTTCACTTAATAATGGCAAATTTCTAAGAATTCCTTATGATAAGACTGATTTGGTGAGGGGTTAAATCATTTCATTCCACCTTGCAGTAGCTATTATACTCCAACTGCAGAAGGCCAGGAATGGTATTTTTAAAAAGTTAGCTAATATTCATCCTTTTAAGCTGAAAAAAGGAACCTACATTTCTTTTTATCATAATACACTCCAAGTGTCATGGAGACAACATGGAACCATACTGTCACACTTCAATAAGATAATTTAAAACATTACTAAGTCTGGCATACAGTAGAGGTTCTAATACAAATTATACATACTATATCTCCACTTTGGAGATTCACAAAACACAATGCTATTAAACCCTCTGAAAAATTCTGAGATAAATCTATTTAATTTTGTTTAATGCACAATCTCCCTAACTCATTTAGCTATAGATGCCCTTTTTCCCTAATATCATCATCTTGACTCAACACATACTTTTTCAAACACTAGTATGATTAGCTAAACAGAAAAAGCATTTAGAAGAAAATATAACAAAATACGAATTTTAAAACTGTATTTATACTTTTCTGTCATCTTCCCTAAAATAATTTACTTAAAAATAAAATTTAAAAGAAAAAGTCTAGAATATTTATAGAGTCCCTTCCATTTCTAAACTTCCATACAACAATTATTCTAATATGACTTCTTTAAATTGATCAAAATTCATTTTAAAAATTTTACTTTAACAAGAAAGTTCATTACTTTAGTTTCCTGATAATCCTGTTTTAGGGTCTTCTTGGAAAATACATTTCAGATCATGAACCTGAAAATCCTTATAGCAGAATTGTATCTTTTAACAGAATGTTATGAATCCACTTTTTCCAACTAAATCTTTCCATAATGATTTAATATATTTCAATTTTTCAAAATCAACTTTCATTTTAAAGTTAGAAGAGATACTTTCAGTTCTTAAACTCCTCATGCTTTCTGGCTTTTGAGATTATACAAGCTGATCCCTCTGCTGGAAATCTTTTCTTTACCCACCCACCTCCACACCTCATTCTCCTTCATGTCTCAGTCTATGCCTCACTGCCTCCCATGACCACTTACACCACCCCTGCCCGCTTCTTTTTGGATATTCTATCTTTGTGTTTCCATAGCACATTATTCTCCTTCCCAAACAGTCCTTTACCCCACTCCCCCAGCACTTTGTAGAAATTATCATATTAATTGTTCTTAATATATTTTGACACCTAGACCTCAGTGGGAATCTAACGATAGCTATGATTCTCTTCTCCCAAAAAACAGACATATAGGCCCTATCACTATCTTGCTCTGTTTTGGGGGTTCATAAGACCTCTGCACTATACTAAAATTGCCAATTTACTTGTCCATGTCCTACATAAGAAGACATGGGATTAGATCTTGTTTATCTGTCTATCCAGTACCTAATGAAGTACTCAGTGCTTAATAAATTGTTAGATAAATGAACACATGAAAATATGCAGAAACTACTGACTTCTCTTCAATCTAGCCATTAAAAGATGAAGTTCCTTAAGGTCCAGGATCCCAGAGCCCCAATTCCAGACCCTCCTTTTCTTCTCACTCTATACTCTCTCCTTGGACAATCCTTATGCCAATGATTCCCAAATTTATATCAATAGCCTAGGCTTCCACATCAAACTTTCTTAAAAGACATTTTTGTTTGGAATCTCAAAGCCTCCTCAACTCAACATATGCAAAAATGAACTCATGATCCTCATGCCAACACCCTCCAAAAACGTTTCCTACCTCAGTGAACGGCAACACCATCTATCCAGCCTGAAACCACAAAGTCACATTTTTTTTACACTGCCCATTTCTTCCTCCCACCTCATTCCCAATATCCAAGCAATCACCAAGTCCAACTGCTTTTCCTTCCTATCCTTAAATCTATCTACCTCTCTATATCTCCATAACAGTCCAACTTCAAATCATCTTTGCAATAAACTCCCATCTTTCCCACATCCAATCATGCCTTCTACCTCATTCAATTCTATTCTCTATATTCCTTCCAAAATATGCATCTGGTCAATTCACCCCTACCTAAAAAACTTCAGAGGTTTTCCTTGCTCTTTCGAGATCCAAATACCTAACACGGTCTACAATCCCTGAATGGGGGATCATGACTCTTTTTGGCCCCAACTGCATCTCTCTCTCACACATACACTCACACACCCAATACATACTGTTAAAAATAAATGAGAATTATCTTTTGCTACTGTCTTTTTCTAAACATTATTCTTCATGAATATTAATCCATGTCAATACAGTCTCGCACTGCATAACGACGTTTCAGTCAGCAATGGACTGCATATACGACAGTGGTCCCATAAGATCAGCACCATAGAGCCCAGGTGTGCAGCAGGCTATACCATCCAAGCTTGTGTAAGTACCATCTATGATGTTCACACAACAACGAAATCACCTAACGATGCATTTCTCAGAATGTATCCCCATGATTAAGCAATGCATGACTGTAGGGTAACTATTTAAAATGTAAAAACAAAACAAATTTTAATAAATTAAACTAGCTCATTTATGCCTATACATATGATTTTTAATTTCCAAATTAGTAAGAACCCTGTATCTTCAATATTAACTTAAGCTTTTTAGTTTGAATGAACTTTATTTATTTATACTAGTAAATAATTAAAAGAAAATTAAAAGGAAAACTTGAAATGATATTTTAATAAAATCCCTTATCCAAAATGTCTATATTTGGATTCTCAGTAATTATTTGTATACTATTATTTGGGGAAAACAAAACAAAACAAAACTTGTCATCCTCAATTCTAACATACCCATTACCTTCCATGACCAGGGCTGCTTTCAAGCTCTTCAACACATAAAAAGTATGGCTAAATTATAAAGTGTGATAAATATTAATAACACTAACATAGCTAATACATACTAGCTGCACAATAATTGCTAAGCCTTGTGGTAAGTACGGTAACTTTTATGTGTAAAAGCTCAGTTAATTATTTTAACAACCCTAAGAAGTATGTACTATTGTTATTCCCATTAATAAAGAAATTACAGTACAAAAAGATAAAATAACCTTCCCAAGGTCACATACATTTAGTGGATGGTGGAGATGAGAGTCAAACCAAGGCAGTCTAACTCCAGAGCCCACATTCATACTGCCCCCGCCAAAGTACCTACTGCCTCAAAAATATGTATATATCAATGTGGAAGCAAGCTATTAAGACAGACATTTTGAATAGTTTTAAACAGACATTAAACTGAGCCAGAAAAAAAAACATTTTAAAGTTCACTTTCACTACTAAGCAAACTAGCACAAAAGCATAAATTCCTACAGATAAAGGGGAACACTTAAAAATACAAGGATAGAAGTAGAACATAAAACTACAGTGATATAGTGACAACCCTGAATACTCTCTCCCAAAATGGCTAAAGGAAATCAATGTGATCGACACTACTTCTCTCAATGTTTCTACAGTTAAAATTTTCAACTCTTAAAGTTAGAAGCAAGGTATAAACAGATTAAACAACTAAGGGGTTAATATCATAAAATTTATGATTACTATTAAAAAACAAGAATTAAAAAAATGCAGATTTGTCAGTAGTGTTCTACTTTTTTTAATCCATGCCCCTTTTGATAAATATTTCATCCCCTCTCTAGGATATAAGAGCCTGCTTTATGGATGTAAACTCTAATGTCACCCCACTGAGATTCACTCCTAGACCAGGGGGCTAGTCAGAGCTTTTTCAAACTTCTCATATCCCTACCCCCACCTCCAATCCCAATTGAGAATCACTTGATGTGGTGTAAAAACAATCTTTAGTTAACTGTCCATAATTAATAGTTAAAACCTGAATTAAACAAAGGTATCCTTTTTGTAAATGTCATGTTATTTAGAGCAGAGGTCAGCAAACATTTTCTGTAAAGGGTCAGGTGGTAAATATTCTAGGCTTTGAGGATACTTTCTCTGTTGCATATAAATATATTTAACAACTCTTTAAAAATGTAGTAACTTTAGCTCAGGGCCTTGCAGAAACAGGTCTCCTGCAAGATGTTTACCCACCCCTGATCTAAAGAAGGATCCTTGGTTCTAGCAACATTTTCAGCAGCAGAGGTAACAGAATTCTGTGAAATAGAGGCAACTCTGCTCATGCCTCGTCGTCCGCCTTGGCCCAAATCATAAGCCTGCATCACTCCTTTATCAGACTGCATATGTAAAATATTTCTAGAATTACCAATTACAATTTGAACAATAGAATCAGCTTCTGAAAATGTGAATTATAGCAAGGAAGGAAAAAGAAAAGAAACTGAGCTATGTCAGTGGTTTATTTTCCTACATCTTTGGCTGAATCAACCTACTTCTGCTTGGTATGCTACTTCATATAAACAGTCGTCCTCTCTAGCCAAGAAAATTTTGCCATTATAGGTGGAACGTATTGTTAGAAGGTAAGTGTTATCAGTGGGAAGAGAATATAAAGAACCTGAAAGCCACTGCATTCCACCAGACATACTGTCATTAAGAACTTCTCTACTCAATTTTTAAAGAAAAGGTCAGTAGTTTAAGAGCTCTCAAGTCAAACAGCCTAGACTGAAACTTTGAGTGTGGGGAAAACATTTACTCCAAGTCTCAGTGTCCACATCTATAAGACTGGGATTGCAACAGTTACTACCTTGGGAGGTAGTCAGAGTACCTGACATAAGAGTTGCTGTTACTTTAATTACATTCCACATTACATACTACATGTTGAACTTTCATGTTGAAAAAAATCTTTCTAGACCTAAACAGGGAAAAAAAAATTGGCTATCTTTTTAAAGCCTTTTTCAAAGTGAAGTTAGATCAATATACTCATTCCAACTACCCAATTTACTTGTGAGACCTAGAAATGCCAGTCCTTCCCCTAATACTCAATTAAGGAGTCCCTATGAAAATAAGACCCACCTAATGTTCAGCACCAGTATGATCTGATTTGACTAGGCTCTTGACTTCATCCCTATGTCTTGAACACCTGACTGGTTATTTAAAAAGTCAGTTTTTCAGATCTTCTCACATCTATTTTCACAATTTTTTCAGATCTGAAAGGCTAGTTGCTTCTGCTCTCTACTATAGTTCTGAGTTCTAAAAGATCAGCTTAATGGAATCAACTTCTTATTTTTATGACTATTCTAGCATATAACCAAATCATAAATTTAAAAAACCCTATTTGGTATTTAATCACTCCATAAGGCCTATTATTAAAATCCAGTCCCTAAAATTCTCAAAACTTCTAAACTTATAATTGTAAATCTGTTACCATTATTATAAAGTGTAGGTTAAACTATATCTATAATCTTTAAAGCAAGTTCACATTTTCTGAGCTTTTTTTTTTTTTTTTGCTGTATTAGCTTATCCACACAGAAAAATATATGGAATATTTACTCTCAAAATTTATTTATCTTCACAGGCAAATAAGGTTAAGTATTCTCCCCATTTCACAAGTAAAGAAAACTGAAGTCCAAGGTTACACAGGTTGCCCAAGGTCATACATTCAGAAAGTAGGAAAAATAGTACTCAAACCCAGGTCTCCTGACTCCAAATTTACTGTTATTTTTATTACATTACAGTTTCCTTCTCAAAACTTTATTCCCCCTCACCCCCACTGTCATATAGGTTTTATGATTACAAACTTACTAGAACCCATAAAACCATTTTTCAAATCAAATCCTCTAAGCTGGGTAACTCTATTCTCAGAAGGACTCTTACATGTTCATGATTTCTCTGTAATTAGAAGTATAATAAAATTAATATAAAAGCTTATTAAGTGTCAAAATTAATCTTGGTAGTCTATTTACTCTTAATTAACTGTGAATAAACATGCATTAAAGACTTTCTTATATTCACAATTTAGTCAACCACCTAAGAACCTAATTAATTTACATAATAATTCACTTAGTATTACCAATGCAATTATCAATACAAATTTATCCATTAAGAAAAGGCAATACCGCTCTTCCAAATTATATTCATCACAATCTGACTATATTTTGTTAAAAAAACTCTATCCAGAATTAAGGTTTCCACAAACCACAAAGAATGCCCTATAAAAATTAATTTAAAACACAACAAAATGACAAAATTTCACTTTTTAAAACCACACATTTTAAGTTTTGTTTTTAAGCCAAGTCATATCTGCTAAGCAAAATCTGCGCAATAAGAAATTTTCTTTGAAACATTATTTACTTAGTAAAGTATAATTTAAAATTCAAATCTATGATTCTGTTGAAAAAGTTATTGTCTATTAATTTAAAGATGAAAAATTCAACTGTTTATTCATAAAATGCCAGTGTAAATAATTTTGAGAACGACCAGTTCATTTTTAGTAATGTTTCAGTTTCAAACACTTTACTCAAAATAACTAACACCACACATACAATGGCAGTGAAGCTGTTTCAGAAAACGCATCTTTCTCCAAGCTGTCCAGAATTTAGTATTTCCACACCCAAAAACTAAGCCAGAATCAAACGACACAAGTAAAGGTAAATATTTCTTGCATTTATACTATAATCTCTGGCAAGATAGGATACGTGCCTGTTTTCTATCCGTGATAGAGACCATATAAAGGGTCATGCCATCATGATCACAGGCCATCTGGAATCCAGAACACATGGATTCTCAATGTGCTTCATAAAGCTGCAGCAGGCTGCCATCATCTGTGCTGTCATGAATAACAAGCTAACCCTTATACTATAAATCTCTTTCCTCAATAATTTAAATTAGTTGTAACCTAAGCAGAAGCTGCATCAGACCATGCTGCTACCTAAATTTTTTTAGTATCAAAAGCTTTTCAACCATCCTTTTCCTTATCTATGATCCATGAGCTCAAATAAGGCTGCTTTTGCGTGTGTACGTGTGTGTGTGGCAAATAACTAAAGGTGGACCTGCTTCACACCTGATGACTGCCTTCTCTGTAGTGACCAAAGGTTCTCATACTAATATATTTCACTGTTCAATATAATTTTTGATTTTTCAGTACCCTGAATTCTCAAATTCCATAAAGAAAACAAGTATTATAATTTTCCCCAATCTATTATAAAATACTTACAGTCCTCTATATTCCATGTTTAATAACATATTTAATTCCAAAATAATTTATTTTCACAAATTACTCATAATTTCACCAACACAGTTCCTCACAAAATCACAGAAACTAATAATTCTGACACACTTTATTTCTAAAATTTTAAATTTGGTTCCTATTACATAATAGCCTTTATCATTTTTAGACATAATTACAAAAGTAACTTAAATATCCTAAAAAAATCCTTGCGGTTAAAAAATTTTTTTCTGGGGTCAGCCCAGTGGCATAGTGGTTAAGTTCTCACATTCTGCTTCAGCGGCCCAAGGTTCATAGGTTTGGATTCCCGGCATGGACCTACACACCACTCGTCAAGCCATGCTGTGGCAGGCATCCCACATATAAAGTAGAGGAGGATGAGCATGGATGTTAGCCCGGGGCCAGTCTTCCTCAGCAAAAAGAGGAAGATTGGCAAGGGATGTTAGCTCAGGGCTAATCTTCGTCACAAAACAATAAACAAAATTTTTCTAACACACTCATTTTAATGCCTGACTTTCCTGAAGTCAATTATTCTAAATGGATATGCTTAGTACTCTGTTAACTAACGGTCACTATCCTTAGTATTACAGATATTTTCCTATGAATTTTGAAATTTATATGAGGAAACTACTATTAAGTATGAAATTAACCTGTCTGGTATTACTAGTCCAGAATAAATTGTATAGGATACAATTTTACTTGCTACAATTCTGTAGTGACAGGAGAGAGAACCACAAAACTTGGAAAAAAGAAGAATGCCTGAAATAGGTGACAAAAGGAGTTTCCAGATACAAGAAACAAAAACTTGTGGTCTATCTGACAAAAAAATTATGAGTGGATTAAAAAATTGACATTCATAGGATTTATTTACCCTAATGCTCACTTAAAGATTAATACAAAAAAGTCTTTATTTTATTAAACTGTTTAAAACATATGTATCTTTAAACCAGACAGACAAAAACACCTTCTCTCTGACAATTTCCAAAAAGAATACAAACTATCGTAATGGTTTTAAACCGCATCTCTGTATGAAAGGAGCCATATGGAACAGCCAAGTTCCCTTCACATATTCCTAAATTTCATCCAATCATTACCAAAAGAAAAAAAGCTTCATGTAACCTCAAATTAATTCTGGGTATTTCAACCACCCAAACATTTCTTAATGTTAATTGTTCCACAGAAACAGTCACAGTTAGAATCACTACACAGACTAGCAAAATTTGTCTACAAGTCTACCCACAATGCTTTCAAAATTATTTATTTTTGGTATTTACTATACTTTTTTCTTTACATCTTAGGCTTAATTATTTCATCCTTGAATCTACAAAGTAATTATACTAATAGTGTCTTCTGAAGTCTTAACGCTGCCTTTTTTATACTGCAGCTGCTATGTTCAGAAAGTTATACATGCTTGTTTCCAAAATAAAAATGGTTTTCTTAAATTAAACTTTAATACAATATTATAAAGCTATAATTAGAAATTTTACTACCACTACTAAAGTTCTAAAAAGAGCAAACACAAACCCTTACATGGTGCTTGATTTGCGCCAGTTATCACTCACAGATTCTTACAAAATAGGAGCTATTATTAGCCCATTTTACAGATTGGGAAACAGACTCCTGTAGTACTATTCTGCCTCATAACAATCAAATAAAACACCACTGTGTAGTTGGGGAGGGGATAATCCAACTCCCCCTTTATGTTCACGCCACTTTACAATTACTGAATTGTATTAAAAATTTAACAGGTACTTATTTCATTTAAAAATTTTTGTAAATCTCTCAAGCTTTTTAAAATAATGGTATAAGTACCAATAGAATAATTACATGTATAAGAAAGGAAGAAGTTTTGCCCACGTCAGCCCTTCAGGACGTACTATTCCCTTCACACCTAACATTTTATTCTTCATTATAATGATTATGAGATATGAAAGCCCTGTTTTACTGGCTATCAAGCAAAGCTTACTATTTGATTGATACCCTATTAAAAAAGGAAATGGTAACTCTACTATATAAATTTATTTCATTATATACCCCCCTAAATTATACTGAAAAGTACAATATTATCTTTAATATAAGATGGGAATCACTGATTCAAAAACATTTAATATGTTATCTATTTTTTTCCTAAAATTTGTTTTCTAGGTTTTATATCTTTCACATTAATCAGCATACTCTAAATAAATGCGTACTTAAGATATATACTTAAGTAAATCCTATTCATGGTTCCTATTCATCTCTGATTTTAAGACCACCAATAATTTATGAAAACTAGTACTTAAACCATGGTGAAAAACACACTAATTATAGAGTAAAGAGGTAGTCTACAATGTACTTAGTGTCTCAAAAAATCTTCATCTTTGTATAGAGAAATGATACTACAAGCTAAGAATGGCACTATAACAGCATTTATACAATCTTCTAATCTGCATGATTTGTGTAGATCTACTTTTCTGTGTTTTGGATAATCAAACTCCAAAATGAAAGAGTTGAGCTCTTAGAGAGATTGTATCACTATTTCTAGTTCAAAATCAGATTACAAAATTTCCATTCACTTATTTTACAAATGAGATAACTGCGGCCCAGAGAAATTCCATGACTACCTACAGGCTAACTGTTGGCAAGGCTAAGATCACACAACCCATATCTCCTGACTCCCAATCCTTTCACTTGAATAGAAGGATTTCTAATAAAGTGGAATCATTTTAAGAAAAACAAATACCACTACAAAAAATAAAGAATTATATCACTTTAATAGATCAGCAAAACATGAACCCAGTTTTGGAAAAAAAAAAAAATGCCTTGTAAGCAAGAAATGTTATCAGAGTCCTAAATCTGGTAAAAATGCTTAAAAATTCTGCCTCAAAACCTCATAAGTATGCAATCACCACTAATTAAGGTAAAAACTAGAAAGGAAAACTTAATAAACCAATTAATTTCACTATTCAAACTAAGAAATAAATAAATGGCAGAGCTTTCTCTTTGTCCAAAAATTAGTTGAGTTTTCTTATTCTATAAAAATTTTGCCACCTATGCTTGGCTCCATTTAAAAAAATAAGAGTTCTAATAAAAGCTTAAAAAAATGCCATTTTGCTTTAAAATCAACCTCACATTTAAAAAAATATAAATCTGATTAAACATATACTATAGAGCCAAAAAAAACCTTTAACTTCCTATCAAATTCCATTCACCATTAAAAATGTTTTAAATTTAAGGTAAATGGTAATAATCATAATCAAAACCTTCAACCACACTTGAAATAAATGCATCAATTTTATTTTTTCAATCTGTAAACTTTTAAAACTCCACTTTCCTCTTGGTCAAAACTCAGTCACTGTGATTTTATCTGCATGCTGACTGCAGATGTTGATCTATGCCTATTTTTAAGCTCACAAGTACAAATATCATACTCCATCCTAAACAGCACTAAGTTGAGGTTTTCTAGGAATTTCAATCAGACATACAAACTCTCCCATTTAAAATATTACTCAATTTATCAGTTAATGAAGCAACAAATTTCCAGGTGGAGGTAGACACTACTGAAACCACAAACAAAAGTTATTACTTTGGTTTCACTCAATCTTCAAACCAATGTTAAATAAACTCAATTTGATAGGCAACAAAATAAAACTTTTTTAAATCATAAGAATAAATTAAGACAATAAAGAATACTGTATAAGAGATTTTGCATGTGCTCATCTAGACATAAAGTTTCAAGATCCTACTATTAAACAAAAATGTGCTCCAATACCTTATGTTCCAAATTGTTTTCAGAGCTAACTAAATCCCAATAAAAAAGTCAAAGTTAAACCAAATACTCACACACCTAGATAGATAGGTTAAGGGATACGAAAGCACCTTAAATGGTGTTTGGACCCAGTAGATACTGAGTGAGCAATACGCTGAATGAATAAAAACAGAAAATGAACCAAAGAACTCTGAATTCTAATGAGAATTCTTAACTGTCTCATGAGTATGCCAATATGACTGTTCTGGTAAAAAGGTGAACACACTCCAAGCAAGAAAAACCACTTTCATGCAAAATAGGTGGATTTTGATAAATAACACCCTGATGAAGACACTGCCTATTGTGTCCTAAATCTGATCAAGAGACTAGGATTATAAATTCATTTTATTAACATGTGAGAAATAAGAAAGCCTCTCAAAAAATTAAACAGAAACCAACATTGGCGCTCTTCTTTTTACTGGAGAAAACAAAATGATACACCTAAAAGGATTAGACATTACCATAATTTGACCAGATGCTATCAGCCACTTCATTTAAAACATATAACATCAAGAGTCTCCAAGTTAAGAAAAAACAGCAATCTTCAGTGGGGTTTTTACTAGATAAAAAGATGGGTTTGTAAAATCTGCCCAATTCTTAAAAATGGAATGTTATAATCTTCATGATAATTTTTTCAATAAGGAAGACATGGAATCCACTTAAGATTTTATCAAATATTTACATCTTAAAAATTAATACCGCAGTTATTGAATCTTAGTGTTTGCTTCAAACTCCATGCATTTTAGTCAAGTATTTAATGAAACTAGCCTAAGTCACTACTTGAAAACTAACCAAGTATAGAAATGAATACACTAACTTTCTATTAAATTTACTAACCCTAAGTACCCCTGCTTACTTTAACAGCTGTGAGCACTTACTAACAACCTATATTAAATCATAAGCGATTCAGAGGCAAAGGCTAGATTTTCTATATCCAAAGGAAACACAAACCATCACAATCACCTCATGTCTTCACCTCGCAGAAGACATTCAATTCTAAGCTAACTGAAACTTCCTTGTCGTTTCAGAAGCCCTTATGAAGTAACATTAGTCGTCATAACTATCTCAAAACATCAGCTGCGAATACGTCTCAGAAAAACCAATGCACTGCATAGATTTCCAAGGCTTGATTCGCCCCAGTGTGGCTGCTTAACCGTTCCCCACACATACTCATAAAAACAATCTAAATCAGTTCAGGAGAAAAGAAAATGGAAAATGTATTCCCCGAATACAAATACTTTTCCATTCACCAGATTTATATAATAGGTCTACTTTCAGAAGTTAATTTTTAAAAATTACTATTCACTTTGAAAAATCCACAAAATTAACAATTAGGTATTTTTCAAGCTACTAAACAAAATACATCCCAACATAAACCAAAAAACTTTTACTTGCCAAGTTCCATTCCAACACTGAATATACGGGTAAAAATCAACTCTTCAGCGGCCTCCAACAGCTTTTAATTGAACGAGAGGCGTTAACAGAATTAGCAAACCGAGAAAAAGCCTGTTAAACTTCGGCCTTCAGGGGGTTCCAGGCTTTATGCTTCCGCGAAAATGGGTAAATAAAAGACGTGCCGCCGGCCAACCAGCACACATCGGAACCCCTCCAACAAAAAACCCAGCTCAAAATTTAAGGGAGGCCCAAGAAGCGAGAGACGAAAAGAGAACGTCCTGCCACGGTTCCGCCGCGGCTCCACGGGCTGCCTGTGAAATGCTAATGCCACTCGGCGCAGCCCGGCCCCAGCCATTGTGTGCGGCGGTGAAAGCCGCGCCGCCCGCGCAGCGCCCGGCGAGCAGCACGGAGC